CTGTCATCCTCTCTGATCTATAGTTCACACTCGCAGCGGAATGTAAGCTTCGAATCCACAGAGAGGGCTCAGAAAGCTAGTGGGTCAAAGTAAGTGCTCTAGAAATGATGTCATCCTTAGAGCTTCACAAATGATCCCCATTTCGTGACTATGGGTAAATCTAACTGGCATTAGCAGTCTCTCCCTATTCTCATATCTGTTTCCTTTACCGGGACTCTCCAGTATTTGTGAGCATGGACATTTCCTCGGGAGTTGTGGCTGCCTGTGAAGCAGTCTGTAGATAGGGTACAGCATCCTGATATGTTAGATGTTGGTGTAGGTACGACCTCCCTCCCCCCCCCCCCGTCCGAGCGAGGGTGTCAGTACGACACTCCCCTCCTCTCCCAACGACCAAATACGATCCCCCTCCCCAGAGAAAAAAATACGACCCTCCCCCATGTGTTTCACACAACGATGCTGTACCCTGTCTGTAGAAGAGTTGCTGTATGCCCGTATGACGAATGTAGAGGCTATTTAAATATTCGATAGCTTTACTCTTGAAAATGCTTTATAGTCTTGCAATAAGGATCCGTATTATTCACAAATCACGATTAGCAATCGGAACAAGCACGTCGACACCGCTGACGAACGCTGTTACTCTGGCAATATCCGAAGAAGGCGAGAACGTTGCAACTGAAAGAAAAAAAATAAATTGAACAAAGCGGCACTAGCGTGTAGCATCGAGCGGGACAAACGCTAAAGAAGAAGAAGAAGAAGAGTGATCCGCCAACTTCGGAATAGGTCCACCTTCATGATTGGGCAAAAACCCTAATTGCGGGACCTCGCACAAATTCCTTCAAATGCGCCGTGCTTCCTTTCCCAGAGGTCACTTGCACCCAAGGTTCAAAAATTCATACTAACAATGAGAAAAGTCACAGATTTCCTCTAGAGTATTGTTCTTTGAAATGACGCAATTTTCATTCCATTGTTGTTATATGTATGAAATATTACATTGGGCAGAGATGGTGTATGGCAAGTGGCACGGTTACCAAGCGCGGTGTTGGGGTCGAACCCCCAGATTCCCGCCCACACGTCAACCAAGATTCATCTATCCTCGGGGAATGGTAAATTGGTACCAGGCTCGTTCGGGAGGATGAGAACACTGACTCGTACATGAGCTGGCTCCGCATGTTATTGCATAGGCCACATACATTCATAAGCCACTACGACTCTCAATGGAAGTGCGAAGCCGGCAGCACTTTATCCTCTGTACTACTGGTACTGAACTAGCCACAATGGAGGATAAAGTTCCATGAATTTTCAGGCAAAATGCGAAGAAGGATAGAAAATATACAATAAAGCTCACTCGTAGAAGTAGTTTATACACCTCGCAAATGGCATGGTCGTAGTTTGCGGTGCAGTGATCGGCATTGGTGCGACAGTCGTTGTAGTTGTTGGTATTGTTGTTGTTGTTGCTGTCGTACCCACAACACTGTCCTGCCTCTCACCAACTAAATAAATGTTTATTGCTGGTACACAAAATACAGTAAGTTCAAGAACAAGATCTCTAGATGGTGCATTCCAGCAGTGATTTAGGTAGAGTTTTCATGAGCCCGTTTAAACTAGTATCGCGGGCATTAAGCACTAGTAACTCAAATCGGATTGGCCCAACTCAGTGGTGCTTAAAGGCACTTGGCAAGAGAAGTACGGCCAGCAGGACTTGATTTGGCGCATCTGAGCAAGCGCTGCATTGCGCTTTTTCCAAAGAAGGTCTCTTTATAGCGTTCTATAGCATAGCAACATACCGTCCTGGATGCCCACCCGCGCCGGCCCTCCTACAAACGTTCGACCAACCCTGATGCTGGTATTTTCATGTGCCAGGTGAAATATGAGGAGAAGGGATTGATATCATGCGGCTGCGACTGCAAATATGAGTACAGCAGCCCTATCTTTCGTAACGATAAGTGGCGCAAGCCAACGGGAATCTCGTCCGGAGAGCTTTCTGATCGTGTGAAACAAAGGCTTTTTAGTAGGTTTTTAACCATTTCCCTTCGCTTTTTCGCCGTTTTCCCACTATTTAGTACACCTACTACTATTTTAAACAGCCCACCAAATTATTGTGCCAACTGTCTCTGAAGGCAGAGCCTCCACTACAATTCTTGTGGAAGGGACCTGAATCAGAGATGTGAAACTCAACAGTAAAGAAGCAGAAGAACCCGTCACATATCCTCAAAAAAACTTTCTTCAAAGCAATCTCTACGGTGTCACTATTACTAGAAGGTGTGGTGGTACGAGTTCACCGGACAATGTTGCTGCGATCGGTATGGTCGCTGCAACTCAACTGAGCTGATTTCTGATCGACAGCAATTTCACTGACTCCTTTTTGTGTTCGGTTATGATGTCCTTTTGGGTGTGGCTAAATGGAGGACGGTATGGCGTCACTGAACTTTGCGTCGCCAAAGTGATGCAGTAGTTGTCACTGCAAGAGATACTACTTGTTGGCGAGGAGAAGCGGCTATTTAGTTGACCGCGCAGCCCACCTTCAGTCCCGCCTACAAATCTCTGCGCAGTTACAATGTTATGCACGGAGGGAGTATGGATGGTTCCCTGAGCTTCATTCTTTCGAATCTTGTTTGGCTATGTAATGTCAGCTCTTGTATTCTAAAGATTGACTCTGAAAACTAGTGCGTATACAATATATTTTCTATAGGTATGTGTTGTATAAGCTCTGGTTTTCAGTATATCTGAAGAAGGGCTTAGGCCCGAAACGTTATCAGTAAAACTTTGGAATACAAGAGCTGTCATTACATACCCAAACAAGAATCGTTATGGACTGCTCAGATCGTCCACTAGTAAGTTATAAGTGGAACGAAGGCTATTGGCACATATGGAATACCGGGGATATGAGTTTGCAGAGGATGTTCACAAGGTAGTTCTAATTGGACGTATGACCATGGCAATGCCTACACTGAGTTTCTCATAGAACTCGGTGTAGCCATGGCCATGGTTAGCGGAGATAGCGAGGAAACAGAAACCTAAGAAGCGTAACGCGATCAACTAACCGTAGCGGTAAGCCAACCCAATAGTCGATCTGCCAAAGCGATTGAATGTTATGATCGGCAACAGATTCGACGAAGCAACCAACGTCTTTCCAACGCTCGCTCTGGAGCAAAACCTGAAGTAGGGTTCTTTAGAGAGAGTCGGATGAGCATTTCCGAAGTGGCAGTGAAAGGGCATTCTGAGTATTTAAAATATCTCAAATTTTCTTAGCATTGCACATATTTGAACACCTTCTGAGGCTATCGCTACTATAAAGGCGCTGTTTGGCTTGGTGGGACATTTTGCTGCCTCTCATCGATCATTGGCGATGCTTCCTGTAGTGAGTTGTCAGTGCCTGTAAAGATATGCAGCAGCAGGAGTTTCTATTCAACTATTACTACCCCAGAAAGCTGGGCTGATCTTGATCGACTTTTTTCTACGGGGGCGGATTTGGCTGAAAGTTGGGTTCTAGGGGTAATTCGACCTCCTGAACACGAATATCACATCCACTTGGCCTGAAAGTGCCTGGCGCCCGCGCCACAGGCGCCAGTGATTTAGGGCATTTTGGCGCCGGCGCCTGTGGCGCGGGCGCCGAGCGGTTTCAGGCCGAGCGGATGTGATATTCGTGTTCAGGAGGTCGAACTACCCCTGGGTACAAGTTTTCAGCGGATTTGGTGATCTAGGGTACTTTGGCGCGGGCGCCAGGCAGTTTCGGGAGGAGCGGATGTGATATTCGTGTTCAGGAGGTCGAATTACCCCTAGAACCCAACTTTCAGCCAAATCTGCCCCCGTAGAAAAAAGTCGATCAAGATCCGGCCCGTTTTCGGAAAATTGGGGTAGTAATAGTTGAATAGTGCCGAAACAGTAATATCGTAGTTGAATAGTGCCGGAGTTTCTTGCGTTTACACTTAACAGGTCTCACCAATGTGAGACGTGCAATTGGAAAGAAACTAGTAAACGAAACTAGCCGGTGCACGATTCTCTTGACCCAAATAGCGCCAGAAGATTTCCTAATGTGGATCTGTTTACTTTTACCTTTGTTGGCTTATTGATGCAGGAAATGGATTGCATGCATATATCCTTGTTCGCTGGGATGATGAGGCACGTCAGCCCGGTTGCTTTGGAACGGAGCAAACCCGTTTTTTCTTTTTTTTGGGTAACGACAAGACTGAATCATATCGCTCCTGTCGGTCGCTTTCCAACTCTTCTTGTTACTCACCCCTACTTACCCTCTTCAGCAAATGGTGGAAACGAGCTGGCAGCGTACCAGACGAGGCGCCCTGACATGCCCCATCATCCTCAGTGAACAAGACTGTGTATTAGACGAAACTTTTCCATTCATAAACACCTACTAACCCCAACTTTACCTATATCCTGTTCGTAGTTGGTCGGCATGAGCTTTGATTTCCACTCCTCCATAAATACATCCATCCACTGAATAACCCTGTAGGCTCTCTATACGAACTTCAACCCGCGTTCCTACCGGCGCCTAAACATCTTTTTTACCATTCTAACGATGCACGTGGAAAAAACCTCCCAAACGTCATAATATCTTAAGGATCGCTTTTGAAATTGCCGGAAAATCAAAAAAGAGGACCTGGATCCAATAGACACACTTCGAAAAATCGATTTTCGTCATAGTTGTGCCATCTCCAACAGAAGCAGCTAACATTGCATAATCGGGACCAGCAGTTAAACTTTGGCCACATCCATCAGGCTGAAAAAGTCAATGCACGCTTTCTATGTAGTCCACAATCATTACCATTATAGGACGCATCTAGGAGGTTTTGTGAAGGGTGCAGTGTTCTGGTGTTCTGTCTGAACAACAAAAAGCCTAGGTCACAGGTAATCCACGGAAACGCCAGAATTATTCTGAACGCTTCTTGGTGGTGCGGCTGATCCGCTGCTAACTCTGCACTTCGCATGGTGAGAGTGAGGTGATACGGTGAAGGAGCTAGCACCTTCAAGTGAGAGCTCGTCGGTACACCTTCCTTCTTACCAGGGAAGGTCAACAGTGTTTGTCGCTCATGGGGCCCATCTCTAAGGATAGATGCATATCGACGGGATTACGTCTCGGGAGCGCGTGAGAGGTCAGATCGGCTGGGGCGCAAAATTTGCCGCGACGATTCTCTATGAGGAGTTAGGAGAGGGGGGGGGTGTCGTTCTAGCATAGCACTCGCCGATCCTCCTTTGCGTAGCTCAAGTTAAGTTCGAGTACAGCAAGTGGTCGATGGTGTAGTGGATAGGTAAGTTGCTTCATAGATGGGAGGTCATGGGGTTCGGTCCATCGAGGAGCCGAACGGTTCGCATTTTTGCATTTTTTCGGAACATCTGCGAGTTCAGAAAATACTTTATCCGTTATTTTGTCAAGCTTGCTCTTACTTGCAGCAGGAAAAGACTTAAGTGCCGGCAATTGTGCTTCGCTTTCAAGACTTTTAGGCAGTGTTTACCCTTTACTGCCCAAATCACCCGAAATCAGGCCAGTTTTTGACCGACTTTTTTCTTCGTAAGCAGAATTGGCTGAAAAGTTGCCTACTAGGGTAGTCTGCCCTTCTGAACATGACATCCGCTCGGCACGAAACCTCCTAGCACCCGTGCCACAGGCGCCAGCGCCAAAATACCCTAAATCACCAAGTTCGCTGAAAACTTGTCAACTGGGGTAGTTTGACCTCCTGGACACAAATATCCCATTAGCTGAGCCCGGAAATGCCTGGCGCCGGCGCCAAAATACTCGAAATCACCAAAATCACTAAACTTTTCAACTGGAGCAGTTTGACCTCCTAAACACGAACATCACATCTGTGTGGGGCGTTGAGAATGTTTGGGATAGAGAAAAAGGAGTAATGTGATTGCGCAATGATTGCGCAACCTGTGTTTGCACCCCTCCTGAGGCCCTTTCCCTGCTAAGGCTGAGCCTTAGCAAAGGGAAGGATTTCTATGACAGGCAACCAGGAAGAGTGGTGCGTTACTTCGGCCAGCCCAACTGCCCTAGCACAGAGCCCGCACGAAAGCGACTGGAGTCTGTGCTACACGCGCCGGAGTCGGAACAAGCATGTGATGGGTCGCTTGTGGCGTATGCGTCAGGCGGTTTCAGACTGTACGGATGTGATATTCGTGTTTAGGGGTCAAACTACCCCAGTTGACAAGTTTTCAGCGAACTTGGTGATTAGGGTATTTTGGCGCTGGCGCCTGTGGCACGGGTGCTAGGAGGTTTCGTGAGCGGATGTGATGTTCAGAAGGGCAGACGATCCTAGTAGGCGACTTTTCAGCCAATTCTGCTCACG